TCGCATAGAAGGAGTGTGGTGTACGGTGTGTTTAGGTTTGTGTTCGGTGAGGGATGAGATGACGTAGAATGTGTGTGAAGTAGGGGCTGTAGGTGAGAGAGGGAGGGAGTCTATCTGAAACTGGGAACGGCGATGTGCGTTGCCGTTTTGAGGTGTTGAGGTGCCGATATTGGTGCCGTGATTTGGAGTGTTGGTGCGCCGATATTAGCGACGACAAATAGGGAGGTTGATGCGCCGATGCTGGTGCTAGCGAAAATATGTATGTGTGTGGCCAATTGAGGGCCAATGTATGGGAGTGTGCACTGTATGTTGCGAGTTCGGGAGACGTGGCTGGGTGTATATGAGTATATCACCGATTTATGTATGTGGCCGACTGGGGCCGGTGTGCGTGAGTATGGACTGTGTCCCATGAGTTCTGATTTTGTGATTGAATGGAGTGATGTGGTGTGTGTGGTTGGTGTGTGCGTGAGTGGCCGAACTAAGGCTGGTATATATATATATATATATATATATATATATATATATATATATATATATATGTATGAACTGTGCTCATGACTGGTTGTGATGTGGTGGCAGGGACGAAGCTGTGCGTGTATTTTCACTGGGTGGAGTGTGAATATTGCTGAGGTAATTGTGTGTGTGGCCAATTAAAGGTCGGTATGGGTACAGGAAACGTAGGGGATATGTCCTAGAGGTAATGTTGTTGTGATGCTGTTGTGGTGTGGAGGTGTAGGGTGAGTGAGCGTAGCATAGGGGCTGGTATGAATTTGATATGGAAGTTAATGATGGGAGTTGAAGTGGGATAGTTACGAGTGCATAGAGGAATGGATGGGTGGAGGTAATGGGATGGTGGTCTTGTCGTACAGGCGTTACTAAAAGATCATAGGGATGGGTGAGAGTAGTATTGTGTCATAGGTGAAGGAGTATTGTCGGATTAGTTGTTCAAATGTATTTCCATGCTTTGTTTGAAATTTTGAATTTATTTTATTGGAATAGAGTATACTCACTAATGTTATTTACAAATATAATAGGATATGAGTTATTTACAGATATAATAGGATATGAGTCAGAGCTAAAACCCTAAGCGGTGGGATAATACGTAAATGAATCAAGTTAACTGAATAATGACATACAAAATTCACTCTAAATATTCAGACAATTTACTTCTCTATACTAGATATACATTCTTTTTTTTGAATCATTTGTCACTTAGAAACTATTAATTGTAAAGTGAAAGTACTAGGATTGATGTAGGTAACTATTGAATTGAATGCATGTGGTTTATTTGGATTTGAATGAGATCATGAATATAAATGAATGGAGCACAGGTGAAATTTGGGGCCATAGAACACCTAGAGATTTTACAGTTGGTATCAGAGTTAGGTTGCTAAGGTTAAATTATGTGGTAGATTGTAGAAGCATTTTAGGTTGAGTGATTGACGGAGGCTATTGTGATGCAGGTAGACAATGAGAGGGGATGAAGAGAGGCAGAGGTCGTCCTAGGAGGGGATCCACCCCAGCACCCTAGGATCCACCAGCAACGCGGCAGAGGGTGCCTTCCTTTCATCAGGTGCGCCTCCCCTTATCCACCTACGCCACCCACTACTCACCAGAGGCCCACTTCCATCTGTGTAGAGTGGTCAAAAGTCTAGCAGTGATGATCCGAGAGAGGGAATTTCGAGCAGAGGCCTCTTACACCCCACAATATAATGTTAGTCAAGGTGGAGTAGACACGAGTAACATTTGACTTGTCAATTAGTATGATGATCTCAAATTTAAAGAAACTCTTACGTCTAATCAAAATAAGAGAACACTCTATTAATAGTTTAAGGTAATATTAAACATTAAAAATTCGCAATTGGGTCAGTTCAATTATTATATCTCTATATACATCATCTATATATATGATTTAATTAATTAGATCAACTAATCTTTATCTTATAGAAACTATCACATAGATATTAGTCTTACCGGATCATTAATATCCTATTTTGATGATCCAATGACTAAAAATATTATAAATTAAATCATAAAAAGTTTTACTCTCATTATCAAGATCCACATCTTGATGTAAAATCTATAAATTTAATCAAAAATTTTATCACATATATTAAACAATAAGATAATAAATGTGATAATAAATATATTATTGTCATATATTAAAATAAACTATCAAATAATAATGTATTCAATATATTACATGAATAATTGGATCTTTAGCATAATACTTATATCTCTAACACTTTGATCCTCTTGTGGCTCAGAACAAAAAGAAGTTACCTCAGAACAAAAAGTACACCTAGCTACTTTTATATTGAAATGACCAGCGGAGCGATGGTGGAGTTTAAATAGGGGAGCCTTAGTCCCCCCAATAACTTGGGAAATGTTCTTAGAGGTCTTCAATGTAGAGTATTTTCCAGATTTTATTAGATAACGGAAAAAAAATGATTTTGCATAGCTTCAACAAGAAAAATTGTCAGTGGCAGAATATTCGGAGATATATATAAGCTTGGGACAATTTGCTCCAGAGATTATGATGAATGAGTGGAAAGAAGGCTAGGAGGTTTGAGAAGGGATTGAGACCGGAACTATATCATCAGATAGTGTTGTTCGCTTTACCCACATATCAAG